TAAATACTCTTTCTCATTATTGGATTCACCTGTGTATGTAGGTCAGGGGTCGCTGAGCTTACCAAGCCAATTTGAGTTCCAATAATTAGTTGTAAAGCTTTTGGAATCAATAAAATGACAACAGTGCCCAAATTTATCCACCTGCCTGATTTTGTTTAAACAATTATTGCATGCTTTCTGTAAATCCAATCAACTTCATTTCACTTCTCAAATATCACTGTGTGTGTCTCCTATATGATATATTTAACTGACATTTTTTTATTGTAACAACCAACGAAAATAATGACTATTAACAAGGTTGCTCAAACTTTTGCATCCCACTGTATGTGCATATGTGTGTATATATACATACTTTCTAATTGTGGATGGGATTGTAAATGTCATTTAGGGTCCCCCTTAAGTCTGTAAATGGCTTAGCCAAGACTTCAACTGTTGCAGCTGGCACTGCAGATGTTCAAGGCCAAGTGTGAAACACCGGGAATGAGAATCAGCGCCTCCAAGTGCAAGACCTGCAAAATGGTGATGTACCCACAGAGGGTCAGAGTCACTACCCCAGGTGGAGAGTCTTGTTCACAAGTGAGGGGAGGGAGGAGCATGAGGCTGACAGACAGGTTGAAGTGCCGACTGCAGTGATGTGGACACTGTACTGATCTGTTGTGGTGAAGAGAGAGCTCTGTGATCCTGTTGTCTGTGGTGTCACCATTCACACGATGAATCAACGTTCAGTTGTGAGTATTTGTGGTCCTTGACATCCCCCTACAGTTCATGATCTGGAGTTTTTGTAAAGGTGTTGAGAGTGACTGTATCACTGTGCTCACTGACAGCACAGAAACATCATTTGTTTCATTAGTTCTCCAGGCAGCTGTCTGTACCAGTACATCTGGTAATAGCTACTGCCCTTGGTATGGCTGCAGTGTATAGTTGCATCTTCATTCTCTTTTTTCCATAACATGGAAATCTGGTTGGCATCACTTCCATAGGTTTGACCTGTGTGTAACGATAAAAGTTATAATTTCAAATTTTGTTCATTTCTACTTGTACAGCATTAAATATTTTTAGTAATCCAGAATTTCCTGGAACAAAATAACTGTAAGTTGAAATAAATTGTTTCAAAACATTAAGAAGTTTGAGTTGAATTGGTATGATGAATCCACGTTCAGTTGTGAGTATTTGTGGTTCTTGACATCCCCCTACAGTTCATGATCTGAGGTTTTTGTACGGGTGTTGAGTGTGGCTGTATCACTGTGCATACTAACAGCACAGAAATACAAGCCTTGATCTCCTGGCACCAAATTCTTCACTATCAGTGTCCCACTGTGAGCGTCAGTCTTGATGGCTGAGAATTTTTCATCCCTGAAGTCTGGTTCAAAGTCAGGTTGGGAGTTTGGAGTAGTAAACACCATTTGTTTCATTAGTTCTCCAGGCAGCTGTCTGTACCAGTACATATAGTAATAGCTACTGCCATAGGTATGACTGCATTCTATAGATACATTATCACCCTGGTTTTTCCAGAGTATGGAGGTCTGCTTGACTTCCCCCCCATCAGTTAGACCTGTGTGTAACAATAGAAGCGATCATGATCAGTTGTTCATTTCTACTAAGCATTAAATATTTTTTGTTATCCTAAATCTCTTAAAACAAAATGACAG